GGTGAGCAGTAAGCCAGTAAGTGTTGTCCAGTGTGAGTTATAGTGTATATGCAGTTACTCGATAGATTAGCCATGAAATTGTGCAAGTAAGTTTATTTTCTATATTAGTCTTAGTACCACTAGTGTGGTTATTACCTTTGACTTTGAGCATCATTTACGAAGTTACTTAAGCCTAGTACAAGTTAGAACAGCGTATAGCTATAAGCAAAGGTAGCGTGTTGATACATTAAAAGAAGATAACTAATTTATTATCATTACATGGGCTGATCTTGGCCATATTTTCATCAAATAATTTAAAAGAACCAGCCCAATGAAAGAACAACTTTACAACACTATGTTATCATTGGCTTGTTCGGCATCACAATGAATCAATAGGGATGATCCAAATGTCTTGAATATATGAGAGCAGTGTAACATATGAGAAATGTGTGTTTGCTGCAACTACCCATCAGTCACATAATAACAAACAGGCATTTAGCGCGACTTCTCTATTCTGTAACAATATGGGATAGAAGTTGAAACTAATGTTTTAGACTTTGTGGTGGGTGAATGTCCAAATCACAAACGAAAAACCTCATAGTCTAATGGTTAGTGTAGTCACTAGTTCGACTTTTCTAATATAATTGAAATTAATAGCCATTAACTTACAGATGCTGCCAATAGGTCGACAAGTCACACTTCAAGTATTAAACTTGCAACTTGTGTTATTCTCTTGACTCAGACTGAAGTGTGAAATTTTGGTTGTCAATCATTGTAGCCAAAAATGTTTAAAACAGAATAGTTCATTACATACTTTGAGCTAGTTAATGGATATCTGAAATCGAAAATACTAAGTTATGTTTCAAAAACTGAAGAGAGGAAAAATGACATTATCACATCATAATTATTGGATATTACAAAAAATACAAATATTTTTGAGTCCAGACAAGTACATCTTATGTTTTCATAATATCAACTTTTATATCAAATGGCAAATTTAGATAACAAATTACATTCGCTGAAATTTAAATATAATATCTAGATATTTATTACATCTGAGAATAAAGTTTAAAGTAACACAGTAGTTCAAAGTTTAATAATTTAAAAAGTACATGCACTTTTGA